ATATTTATCAAGCACCCTGGAGAGAAGGGGATGGAAGATGGAGAGGAATGGGAGCAGGGAGGGAGGTCCCTGCGCTTAGCTGAGGGAGGGGGAGGGGGAGCTAGCTGGCAGAGGGGATCGTTCCTAAGGACATAGTGTCTGGGAATTAGGGCCACCTTTCTAGTTGCCAGAGGGCACTGGAGAAGGATGGATCTTGGACAGTGGTGTTCAGGAGTCGGGGAAGCCCGCGGGGCCGGGGTGCCTGCCCTGGCTACCATGCTTCTCATTGGGACCACGCAGGGCAGGGTCCCTGCTGTATCCAGATAGCCTGTCACTTCAGGTCCACCTTCCCTAGCACGTCCCTCCTCTGGGGTTGTGCTGCCCAGCTCAGCCCAGCCAATTGGGAGTTGTATCCTGAAGAAGAGGGTACACTGCCTGTTATTATCTCCAGGTGGAGACAGCCTGGCTGCAACCCAGTTAAAATTCACTCTCCAGCAGCAAGCCACATCCAAGCACGCCTGATATCCACCGAGCCTGATGGTCTTCACTCCTCAGTCATCAGAGCCTGTGTCCTGCAGGGCTTCTCAGGAGATGGCACCAAGAGTCTCCCCATCCTGGGAGAGGTGAAGTCAGTTTGAAAATCCCTGCTGCATCCTCCTTGGCCAGTGAACCCCGGAGTGAATCTGAAATTGCCGTTTACTCTGTGGTTGTGGACAAAACTGATGCTGGGCTGAATGCCCTGTGAAGGCTGGGACAGGGACCATCTTCTTTCTTTCTCTGTTTATGTAACATAGCTGGGCAGTGTGCCAAGACCTGAGGATACACTGATGGCCCCAACAGATAAGGTTCCCTCCTTTGGGACGTACATTTCAGTGTCCCCAGCTCCACTGTGTCCCAGAGCCTACCCAAGTGTCCAATCTTGATATGGGCTGCCCAGTGGAATAGATTGCATTGAGCCTTAATCAAAGACCCACTTCATCTGGTGCTGTGTAGATCAGGGTTTCTCAGCCCTGTCACTGTTGGCATTCGGAGCTGTATAATTCGTTGTTGTGGGGGGCTGTTCTGTGTATTATAGGAAGTTGAGCAGTACCCCTGGCCTCTACCCACCGGATGCCAGTGGCACTTCACTCTCCAATTGTGACTGCCAAAAATGTCTTTGGACATTGCCAAATGTCCGCTGGGGGACAGAATCACTATGGAAAACAACTGATGTAGATTCAGGCTTCGCCTATGGAAAGCGGTGGACTTCCCCACAAGAATCCATACTCCTTCATGGGCACCAGACAGGTCGGAGTCTTTATAAGAACTTGGGAGGCAAGAAAAAGAAAGAAAAATAATGTAAATCTTTTCTTTTGTAATAGCAGCTTTATTGAGGTGTAATTTACTTACACTGTGAAATTTATCCTTAAATCTTAAACTGTACAATTCAGTGATTTTTGTACATTTACAGAGTTGTCTGTAAATTGCTATCTGATTTTAGAATATTTTCACTTTCCCCAAAAGAAACCCCATGCACATTAGCAATCACTCTCCATCTCCCCCTCCCTCAGCCCTTGGTACCACAAATCTACTTTCTATCTCTAGGTCTGCCTAATCTGGACATTTTGTATAAATAGAATCAATCGTGCAACATGTGGTTTTTTGTAACTGGCTTCTTTACTTAGCATGATGTTTTTAAGGTTCATTCGTGTTGTATTATGTATCAGCTCTCTGTTGCTTTTTTAAAACTGACTAATAATAATAATCCATTGTGTGAATACACCACAGTTTGTTTATTCATCCATTGATGGACACGGATTGTTTCCACCTTTTGGCTATTATTAATCATGCTGCTATAAACTTTCACATATAACTTTTGTGTGGACACATTTTCATTTCTCTTGGGTATATACCTAGGGGTGGAATTGCTGGGCCGTGTGGTAACTCGGTGTTTAACATTTTGAGGAACTGCTAAACTACTTCCCAGAGTGCCTGCACCATTTTACATTCCCACCAGCAGTGAGTGTATGAAGACTCTAATTTTGTTACATCCTTGCCAACATTTGGTATTATCTGTCTTTTTTTGGTTATAACCATCCTAGTGGGTGTGAAAGGGTATCTCATTGTGGTTTTCATTTGCATTTTCCTGATGACTAATGATGTTGAGCTACTTTCATGCATAGTTTCTTTGGAAAAATGTCTATGTCCTTTGTCCATTTTTAAATTGGGTTGTTTTATGTTGTTGAATTGTAAGAGTTCTTTATATAGTCTGGATACAAGTCTCTTATCGGAAATACGATAATACGTAATAAAAATATGCAAATGCCTTTCCCCATTATATGGGTTATTTTTCATTTTCTTGATGGTATCCTCTGAAAAGTTTTTAATTTTGATGAAGTCCAATTAATTTTTTTCTTTTATTGCTTGTGTTTTTGGTGTTGTATATCTAAGAAACTATTGCCAAATCTATGGCACAAAGATTTGCTTTTATATTTTCTAAGAGTTTATAGTTTTAGCTCTAATATTTAGGCCTGTGATCCATTTTGAGTTAATTTTTATATGTGGTATGAATTTAGGGTCCAACTTCATTCTTTTGCATGTAGATATCCAGTGTCCAAGCATCATTGGTTGAAGAAACTATTCCTTCCCCATTGAACGCTCTTGCCATCCTTGTAGAAAGTCAATAGACCATAGAGCTATTTATTTCTGGGTTTAGTTCTTTCTGGACTCTCAATTCTACTCCATTGGTTTATATTTCTGTTTTAAATTTTAGCTCACTATTTTCTTACCATGTAAACATGTTAGGAAAGTGTCTTTGATAAACAGTGGGATGAAGGAGTTAGGCGACTTGCATGGATGTGTGGTTAAAAAAATAAAACACTTATCACATTTTGAAATTAGAAGGGATCTTAGGGGGTCATGTTAGTATAAACCCTTGCTTTGCTAACGGGGGGAAGATTAAATTTATTATTTTTTTTAGATTTTTTTTTTTATTGGGGAATTGGGGAATGGGAACAGCACTGGGGAATTGGGGGAAGGGGAACAGACAAGTTGCTGTCGTTTTGTTCTTCAGTCTAGTTGTGGAGGACGTTGCTTCACTGGCCCAAGTTGGCACCATCATTGCGCTCTTCCCGGGCGAGGCAGATCAGTCTCTGCTCACTGCGGCTGCTGGCCGCTCACGCTGGCTGCTGGCTACACACGGTAGCCCATGGCAACCCACTGCCGCAGGGGCTGCAGCCTACGCCGTCGCCGGCGACTCACGGGCAGCCCAGCTCCAGGTTGAGCTGTTGTTCAGCATCTTAGCTGTAGAGGGCAGTGTCACTGGCCCTCATATGTGGGATCCGAACCGGGGCCCTCTGGCGTCCCAAGCCAGCTCTTAACCAATGTGCCACTCGGCCGGCCCAAGAAGATTAAATTTTAATTTTAGAGATGAACATATCTGTCCAAAGGTTCACAGCTCATCAGTGGCAGAGCTGGGTTAGAACCCAAATCTCTTACCTTCAGGGCAATGCTTTTTTCTCATCCCCAGGCCTTGAACCTCAGGTCTCTGACCCAGACCATAAATCTGCCTAAACTTCCTTTACCAAACTAGCAAACTTTTCATGCTCTCCCTCCTTACTTGGTCCACCGAAGTGAATGGGGGTAGTGGCATCTGTCTGCTCTCTCCTTTACCGCCTGAGAGAAAAGAAAGCTAGTGAGGGGAAAGCATTTAGAAAAACTGAAATTGCTGTATAAATGTCACTGAATGATAAGATTGCCAGCTTGATGCTCTTCTTGCAGAAAGGTTCAGCATGTCAGAGGCAGCATAATAGAAAGAAACAATTCACTCTCAGACACGTTTTTTAAACTGCCGGGATTGTCACTTTCCAAGGGGGCAGAGTGCAGGAACTGGAATTCTAGCGTGAATGAACCCTGGGGTGTGCCGGGCTGGCTGGGAGAGGCCTAGAGGTGTGATACCTGGCCCCACACCTCAGGGACACCCTGAGTAGATGGAAGAGTCCTTGCCCAGCTTGTGGAAAACAGGGGTTCACTCAGACCCAGGGAACCTGGCCCTAAAATGACAATATCCAGATGGTGGTCTCTTGTGGCTTGTCTGCACTCATCTTTGCCTTTTCAGAGTATTCCTGCATGTCTCTGTTTTTCATCAACACTGCTTACCTCATGTGTCATGCCCACAGAGGGCGTCCTGTTTGAAACCAGGTTGGGGTTGATTTCCCCTCAATCTGAGCCCTTCAATAGCAGGTGCTGTGTCTTATTTACCTCTGTCTTTGCAAGGATTGATGCATACTGAGTCTTCAATAAATGCACGTTTGATTACTGAGACTAGGTGTTGAGTGAATAAAAGCTGCTCCCTTGAGGTCACTGGGTCCTTGCCGAGGGGTGGGCCTCTCCAGGGACAGCAGCGTGTCTGAGCATCTCTCCTTCTTCCTGTTTTCTTCTCTGTTGGTAATTGCTCTCTCCTCTAAGCTTCAGTTGTGTTCTCTGTCTGTACCATGCATGTGTTCTGTTCTTTCTCTTTTTATCTGTACATCCTGTCTTTGCAGCTAAATCACTCCTTGCTTTGACGGCAGGAGCCGTGTGCTATACTTATTTTGGGTCACCAGTATAGAGTACATGCTGTGTGTGTTTTCCGATGGGGAAGTCGGTCCCCCTGATATTAGTAATGTGCTGCTGAATTTGAGGCCGACGGTGTCAGCCGTTCACTGCAGTAGCATTCGGCTGCCCAGCTGTTACAGGTATCTGCCTGGAATGGGGGATGGGGTTATTGGGGGAAGCCAATCTTTCGAAAGGGCCCAGAGTTCCTTAATGTAAAATGAATTAAAGAAAGAAACCATAATCACTGCCTTTAAGTGCCTGTACCCCCAAGCATGGCAACCTCTACCCTGCGTGCCCACTGAGACCAGCCCCAGGTGACACTGTGACTACTGAGAGCTGAAGGCTGCGGCTCCATCTCCTCCCCTAGCTCCGCGCATCAAAGGAGCTTTGGGACCTACACACACCTGCTTGGTGAAATCTCACTGTGTCATCTCCTCCTCGTTTAGGGCGCTGGCTGACATCTTGAGACAACAGGGACCAATCCCCATAGCACACTGTGAAAGAGAAACGATCTCGGCTATCGATACCTCCCCCAAAGAGAACACGCCGGTTAGATCGTCCTCCAAAAACCACTACACCCCTGTGCGGACGGCCAAGCCGACTCCAGGTAAGTGTGAGCTGATTGCCTTGAATTTCTGCTAAGGCTGGTGAGAGGTTTCGGTGATGTTGCTGCTCCGATGGGGCTGGTCGTAGAGCCTGTGCTGTGAGAGACTCTCTAATGGGCAGGCAGGCTTGTGAAAGAGTCTGGGGACTGTCCCCCTGGGGAGTGGTCAGCATGGGAGATACTGCACCATTGAGTGTCTGGGCTGGAGGATGGCTGTCGATTTAGGGCATCTGTGATTTACTGAGTGGCTGGTGGAATTCTCTTACTTGAAAGGAAGCTTGTGGCAGCCATGGCGGAGTACCATCATCCAGTTGCCAGGTGGGGGGAAGGTTAAGGCTGCCTAGGATGCTAGATATGTGGTAAGAAATTGCTACAGTCCGTTGCAGAGACCGCTCAACTATTTGAATCTCAGAAGGCACTTTCTGAGGGTAGGAATTATGTATGTATTGTAGAGTGACCCTTGCCTGTGCTCTGGAAAGTCCCTGGATAGATGACAAGTTGCCATGTAATAGCAACATGCCTTCTACTCTTAATTGGTCATCACTAGAACCCTAGGGAGGAAACAGAGCATGGCTTATTGTCCTTGTTGTATGGAACGATAAATGAGACTCAAGGAAATGAGTGACTCGGACAAGGTCACTAAGATGTTAAGAGTAATAAGACATCAGTAATGACATTAATATAACCTCACATTTATTGGGATCTTGCTCTGTGTCAAGTGTTAAGGGCAAGCATTTTACATGTATTTTCTTTTCACAGCAGTCTTAAAAGCACTTGTATTTTCCTTGTTTCATATGAGGAACTGAAAGGTTCAGTAGTGTTCCCAAAAGGACACAAGGTTGTAAGAGAGAAAACCAGGATTTAAACTGAGGCATAAAGGTAACAACAAGCAGGACTAGAAAACCCTAATACCCTAACCCAGTGGGGGACATGAATCCAAAGTATCTGAGTGGACAGTCTCCTTACAAGGACAGATGGGGATGTTGTGTCTCATCGTGAGCATTATGAGACAGCCTAATACTGATCCCAGTCTCCAACACAGCTTCTGTTTTGATCCTTGGACCTGAAATCTTCACATCCCTCACCCTTTTCAAAAGATGGGCTATATGGTCTGAACTAAACCTGCAATAAGGATATGCAACCGCTAGGTGGCAGTAGGTGTTTTGTAAATTCAAAATTACAGTGACTATGCTGCTGAGATCAAAATTATTTTCCATTCTTTTTTGAATTTTCTTAAATGTATTAAATCAGAAATTATAAACTTGCCTTTAAGATAACAGAGTTAAATCTTTTGAGAATTTGATAAAAGTTAAGGACATTCTCCTTAGAAAATATACATTTATATGAATCTACGTATTCATCCAACATTTTGTATAGGATTTAAGAGGACTCATAGACCGTTCCAAAGTTAGAGATCCCTGATTTAAAGGTAAAGATGAGAGATTCACCTTTGCAAAAAGTTTAAGAGGCATTTTTAGCCTTACTATCATAAACGCTTAGAATGTAAGCAATAGGAGTCTTGACAAAAACATCTGTACATTAGAATCACCTGGTGAGCTGTTAAAAATGCTGGTGCCAGGGCCCCACAAATGAACCAGAATTTCTAGGGATGCATTAGTATTTTTAAAAAATCTCCCCAGGGTGATTTTAATGTGTGGACAGGGTGAAGAACCACTGGTCCAGATGGATTCTTTCCTTTTATGAGTGAGGACACGGAAGACTATGCCAGTTGCTGTCAAATTTGGCTGCACATTGGAATCACCTGGGGAGCTTTAAAAATTAAGGGTACTTGGGCCCCAAACCCAGAGATTGTGATTTCATTGATGTGGGGGTGTGGCCTGAGCATGGTGGGGTGTGTTTAAAGCTTCCCAGGTGATTCTAATATGGAGCCAAGTTTGAGAATCACTGGACTGTGGGAATCGCACGAAGGCGCCATTCGAACTAATCCTTATGATCGCTGACCCCTGTTAACTCCAACCTTGGTGTTTTAGACCACCTTGGAGTAGGGCATTTTTGTCTCCCCGAAGATTCATGGCTGGAAGTCAGGCTCCTTCAGAGCCTGCAGTTCCGGGACTTCCAGTCACTCTGGTGTCCAAAGCACCCCTGGGAGTTTACCTTCACCCCTCTCTGCTCTTGTTTTCTCTGTCTCATTCACAGACCAGCTAGTTTCCAGCCACTGAGTCCAGACTGATTAAGTCAAGTCTTGTCTGGCCCTTAATGCCTTTCACTGGGCAGGAAGGTTTGTCATGTCTTCTGGTTTCTATATATTGTACATCTCCTCTAGCGATCTGAGAAAGAAAGGGAGCTCATCGCTATATGATTCTCTCCTATGTTTGGAGAAATCCCTCCCTGTATTTCTCAGATTGGAACTCTTCCCTTTGCTTTTAGAGGTGGGAGTTGTTTGCCTGGGCCGGAAAGCACTTACATTTAAGAGCAATTTCATAACAGCCCTCAACAGTTACAACTTGTGATGGACACAACTGCTTTTCCAAATAGCCAACATCCTTTGCCACAAAATACTGCAATTTGAGCAGAATTTAAACAGAAGTTTGCCTAAGAGTCCAAAGTGGGGACTGGCTGTGATTTTGCCATTCATCAAATCAAGAAACCACTGATTGAAGGGGTATGGTGGCAAGAGTCTTTTAGGGGGAACTTAAGGAAGGTACCCAAAAACACCAGGAGGCAGATGAGTAGTTTTGCTTCTCAAAATGTTGTTCACAGACCTGCCTCATCCTCATCATATGGGAATTTGTGAGACATGCAGCCTCTCAGGGTCATCTCACCTGCTGAATGAGAACCTGCATTCTAATGAAATCACTCAGCAAATAATGTTCGAGAGCAGTGGAAAAGCACGGGCTCCGAAATGCAGCTCCTCCGTTTATTTTCTGGCCCTGACCGTTGCTACGTGTGTGACCTCGGGCAAGTTTCTTTGCCTTTCTGAGTTTCCTTGTCTGCCCTTGAAGTTAATAGGACCTACTGCCTAGAGTTGTTTTAAGGATGTAATGAGTTAAACCAATTAGAGCCTTCAAACATGTCCTCACATGTAGCAAGCCCTCAAGGTTAGCCATGACTGGGTTATGAAAGCATATCCACCACTCATGGCAAAGGAATCAAATAGGAGAAAAACAAAGGCAATATGCCCTCTGACCAGGCAGGGACCGTGCGGTTGTGTCTGAAATGAAAGCCCCTGGGCCCAGGCTTGCCTGCACTTGGCCCCTGCCTGTGGCACCGCCTCTGAAAATGGAAGTGCTTTGTAGGGCTTTGTAGAGCGCTGTTGTGGTCTTGGACATTGAAAGCACAGGCTTGTTTGGTTTAGGAAGTGGGTGTGAGAGTCCTGCCTTAATACTAATAAAAACAATGATGCCATAAGTAGCACAAGTACCATTTATGGAGTGCCTACTATGTGCTGGGCACCCTGTTAGACATTTTATTTATGATAGAGAGTGGATCCTGTAACATTTCTTAGGTATAGGAGTTCCTCCTGTTCCCACACTGCAGAAAATTTCTCTTTCCTTCTAGAAGAGTCTTTTATCCTAACTATCCAGAAGTACCTTTCCAACTTTCAAGGGAGCTTCATCATGGAGAGTTACTTCGGATGTAGAAAATTAACGAAGTCCACTTCCATCCCTTATCCCTCAAATATGGCTGCCTCTAGACCCTCACTACTCAAAGTGTAGCCCCTGGGCCAGCAGGGGCTGCATTCCATTGGAGATTGTTAGACATTCAGCATCTTGGGCTCTTTCCCAGACCTACTGAATCAGAATCTGCATTTTAACAAGATCTTTAGACAATTTGTATTCACCTTAAAATTGAAGAAGATCCTTTTAACATAGCGATCCTCGGCCCTGGCCACGCACTGGAATCATATAGGCATTTCTGAGAATGCTAATGCCTGACCCTCACCCCAGAGATTCTGATTTAATTGGCCTGGGGTACAACCTGGGCATTGGTATTTTTCAAAACCTTCCCTCATGGTTCCATTGTTCAGCAAACTTTGAGAACCAGAACTGCGAGGGACGCTGTCAGATAAGGAAAACATCTCAGGGACTGTGGAGCTTGGCTTCACATCAAGACCCACAAGATGGAGCCTGGCTGGTTCAGGTGAATGGGCTGCAGTGTCACGTCCTCTCCAGGGCGGGCAGAAGGGAAAAGAGGACTTACGTTCATCTCAGGGAGCGGGTCAGTCTGCAGCTATGGAAACAGCACCTGGGCAACAGCAGGCACAAGTAGAAATATCAGAATTCATCAGAGGGCCAAGCGGAGCCAGGCATCAGGAAATGTACCACATCTGGACTTGCAGTCCCCCTGAGCCCAGGATCTCAGAGGCTTGCTGTGGGCTTGCTTGGTGTTCATGGAAGAGAAGAGTGGAGACCTCGCATGTTCACCTGGCCTGACTCACTGACTCACAGCTGGGGGAGAGTGGGGTACCTGTCCCTTGCAGTAGCAATGACATCATTTGTTGGGATTCCAAAGTTTTGCTATCCAACTTCCCGTTATCAAGGGTGGCATCAGCTGGAGGAAATAAATATTTATGCCCTAGCTACACACCACTGTGAGTTGTATAAATGAGCAATCAGTCATCCTGCCTCTTGTCAAAGCTGTACACTTTAATGGCAGACTGAGAGAGCCAAGAGACGTGACTCTAAGATTTGTGGAGACCAAGAATGAAGGCTGGACAGCTGACACAGGGGTGCTTTGTCACAGCCATGCACAGCTAGCCCTTGGTGCGCCCCTCACCGCAGCCTGTTGCCTTCTGCTTCTGTCACTGGAACCCAGACACCCTTTCCCTCTGCATGCCATGCATGTTCTTGCCTCGGGGTATTTCCCCCCCTGTTTGGCGGCCCGAAACTTTCCAGAACCAGGTGTTCGTGCTGCGAAATTTGATGCTCACACAGCACCGCCTTTCTTAACCTCCTAACTTGCTGCCATCCGTCCCCTGCTTTATTTTTTTCAGAGTACTTACACCATCTAACGTCGTATATTTGCTGGCTTGCCAGTTTATC